GGCCCAAGGACCGAGCCCTGTGGGACCCCACTTCCCATGTCCTTCCAGGTCGAGAAGGACCCATCCACTACCACCCTCTGGGTGCGACTCTCTAACCAGTTGGCGACCCATTGGACTGTGTGGGTGTCTACGCCACAGTCCCCCAGCTTCCTAATGAGAATGGGGTGAGAGACAGTATCGAAAGCCTTCCTGAAGTCTAGGAAAACTATATCCACTGCCAGTCCTGCACTGGAGAACACTCATACCCCAGCCAGCCTCTCTACAGCATGCTGAGCCAGGTTGGAGCAGCCCCCGACTAGCAGGCTGACCCACCCAGGCCCCCTACCAGCCCAGGCTGCTCTGACCTAGTTCAACATACCATGGTCCCAGGCACATGTTCAAACAGCACATCTGGGAGCAATAAACTCTGGTGCAGAGTTCATTGCTTTGGATTAATGGCACATGTAGATGCACCCACTGATAATGCATACTGAGAATAGTGCTACAAAAGGGACTAGAGACATTAGAAATATAGACAGGAAATAACACAGAAGATGTCATTCAAATTTAAAATTAAAGTGAGAAAATCCTGGGGCGAGGCAGAAAGGGAAAGAACAGTATCAAACAACTTTCAGTGGCAAGGAGATTATTTGAAAATGCAGTTTCTAAAGAACTCAGAATGACAGAGGGTAATAAACAGGATAAGAATTTGTAATGTAGTAGAACAAGAACACTACAGTGATTTTCTTTTGCATTTGCAAAAACATCATAGCTCAGATTAGGGAGGCTATGTTGGGAAATATTTTAAAAAATAAGGTAAAATGCTTTGTCAAAGCATTTCAAAGCTACAATGTTAATGTCTCCTATTTAACAGTTCTGTAACTACTTGGGAAATGCTATTTATGAAGAAAGGAGAGCTAATGACTCCTTTCACTTACAAGGAATATGTCTATATGGATTCATTACAAAACTGTTCTTTTAAAGAGTTAAGACAAGGTCAGGTATACCTGACAACACCATTTTATATTCTGCTAATAATCCTGAATATGAAGAGGATATAAAATGTGAATACTTTATTTTCTCACATACCACATGTGCCCAAATAAAATGCACATCTTGCTCTAGGAAGGCAGAAATAAGAAAAAAAGATTTTTCTAGTTCTGGCTGAATTCTGACTGCAGGGAATCCTGACAATACGGATGAATTATGAGCAGCACCTAAGCAAAAGCTAAAATGTTAACCCTCTCACCATCAGTGGCAAATTGGCAGCAGCTACCCCAAGGACCATGAAGGATGAACTCTGCCCCCTTCCGCCCCGAGGCTGGCAGGGGGAGAAGCATGGTGGCCATTTTATAGCAACTCCATTCCAGAATAGAAAATCAGATTAAGAAATGCACCCCAATTTTGTAGGGTTGATTTTGGGGCAAAAGACGTGTATGGTATGTGGTAAGTACAGTATTAATTATGCCTGTTAATAGCATGGCCACACCAATAACATCTAAAACACTTCCAGAAAAAAAAAATCATTGAACTACAAACAGTTTCACTCCCAAAAGGAATCAGATTGAAGAGTAAAATTAAGTGATCAACTTGCATGGACTGGCAATTAATTTACCCAGACACAAAGAACATCCCTGGCCAACTAAGCAAGGAAAATACCTCTCTAAAACGAAATAATAGGAAGAAAAAGAAACAGACTTCAAACTTTCTCTTTGGGGAGCCATGCCTACATTTTATATGTTGTAAACACCATAGGATTAATTTCTGCACGTTTTACAGATCTTCAACCAGTTTCAATACTAAACATTTCTTACCAAGTACTTTCAGTGGAGCTTTTTCTAGATTTATAACAGCTGCTCCAAAAGGAAGAGCTAATGTTGTGAAATTGTTCACGTCACTCATCAATGGACATTCTGGTAAGGTGAGGTACAGCCTCAGGGCTTCAACATCAGGTAAGGAGCTTGTCAATTTAGGAATAAGATTCTTTTCCAAACTAGCTGCCACCTACAGGGTTACAAGGTGTACACTTCATTCTATGTAGTAGAACTTTTAAACAACAACAACCCATCCTCCCCACCCCCCACAAAACTTCGTAAGCAAAGTAAGCAAGAGAACTTTATTCTAACTGGGATTAAGCAAATGTTTACTGCAGATAAGCAATTTGAAAACACTGTATATACATACATTAACGTAATAGGGAAGCTTTGAAATACATGTAAAAGATGTTTGATCACCTCTTTTCCACAGAAGAATCACATTCTGAACTACAGTGCTTTAGGGGGAAAAAAACAAGTCAACATCATATAAACATTCCTGTTCTCTATTAGCTACACTCACAGCAAGTTTGGATGTACTGAAACATTTTAAAATAGTACCATATTAAATCACTGAAATCTAGACATGGTGACAATATGCAGTTTGCAACATATGCTGCTGCTACAGAACATGCTTCTTACAAATTCCAAGTCAACACAGAATTGCTGCATAAAATTACTTATTTATACTAAAGAGCAAGGTGCAACAACATTGTAGAATGCGTTAAGCTGCCTATCTAAATATAAGGAAGATTTGCCAAACGAACCTGCTGTGATATATGAGGATGGTCAGGCTGTATAAGTTTGTGAAACAGCAGTCTGGCAGCATTCATATCAACCCCTGAAAATCTAGTACTGGTTCTGTAGTGATCATCATTGCTGAATAAAAGAAAAGGACAGGTCAATTTGGTATTCACCTGCTCTCCTCACGTTGCCCCCACTTCTTTCTTTTAGAAGATAGCTTTGTAACATAGGTTTCAGTGAGTCAGCTCGTAAACTTGTTTAAGACTGTTCCACTCACCTGACAGCTAAAAAACTGCCATTTAGGCAGCCAGCTGAGGAAAACGTTCCATCTATTTCACTGGAAAAAATCAAATGCAAAAAGAAAAAATAAATTAGATAAGAGACAATGAAAACCTACTTGAATCTTTATTTTCTAACAAATAACACTTCACATCAAATTTCAGTTCTAGTATCAGTAAGTAACACTGGTCAAGCTAACCATTAAATAAGGTGCTACATTTAGACAGTCCAGACAAAACTATTTCCATTAGACTACTTATGTATTAAATGGATCGTAGCTGAAGCAACTGTTCTGCATATTTTCAAAGCACAAAAAACCGCCATCAAATATGTACGTTTCTACAGAAAATATGTGCTTACTTTTCTACAGGGCTTTACAAGGGAGCTCTTTTTCAGCATCTAACTGCTAGCTAGTAAATATGGGTGCCTGGACACATGACAGGAAGCTGCTCCAACAGCACATTAGAGCAGACTTAATTAATCGCATCTGCTGGAGCAAGTTAATTACCATGCTCCAGCCAGCCTCTGCATGTCGTGTATTAGCGTCCCTACTTCAAAATGTCAACGGGGGTGCTTTAACTAAAGTTCATTTGAAGAGCTTTAGATAAAGCTTTAGATAAAGTGCCCTGCCACCATTTTGAAGCAGAGGGACACTGATACACGAGATGCTCTGGGTACTTTAATGAGAAAGGCTCTCAGAGTCGCTTTAACTGAAGCATCCTTCTCCCCACTCCCGGAGCACATGTAAATATGCCCTATATCTTTACCAGTGCTGCTATTCAGTGTTATCTATTAAATATTAAAATAGGTCCAGACTTCTAGATAGTTGAACAAGAGGAACCATCTTAAGAAGTGACTAGTCTTTACATTACATATGCTTTTAGATTAGTGAAGAGCAATATGCTCAAAATCAATTCTCAGATGCAGTAGTTGTCAATACAAACACCAAACACTTTTTTTTTCAAATCCACAAGTGTAAATTTGTTTAGTTAATGGTACAGCTAGTTTTATTCACTATGGGTAAATCCCTGTGGGTATTCTATGTCAACTTTAAGATCACCATGAACCAGTTCAACTCAGTTGAGCCACTTTTCCCAATCTGAATCATCTCTCAGTCTGTAGGAAAGTCATACTACTTATTTACAAAGCTTATTTACTTACTTATTTTTTTTTAGGAATCAGCATGTGGATTACCTGTCTTTGCTTACAGACTTGTTTACTTATGCACAGTAAAAAGAAAAATGGTGACAAAAGGCTGAAAGTCAGGAAACAGGAACTGCTGGATTGCTGCTGGCAGGCTTCCTATGCTGGATGCCAACATGCCGAGGTAAATTTCAAAACACAATGTAAAAAGGCAGGTGGAGAGACAAGTAGCAGGAACCCTGATGTCATATTTACAGGTTCAGCACTGTCTGTGTGCTCAGGCTGGACGGGGGGCCTAGTGAAGGGTTTTATGGTAAGGGATGCTAAAAACAATGGGGGGAAAGAGGGGGCAAGTGGGGAATGGGATGTCACCGGGTGATCTGGGAAGAATGTGAGGGGGAGGTGATTCAGAGGTGACTGGGAGCCAGAGAAAATTATCCAAATCTGCATCAGGGGCACCTTTCCCCTCTGGCCTATATTGTGGCTAAAAAGCTAGCCATGCCCATGCTAACCTGCCCTCTAGCAGCAGATCTGAGTATTGCACATTAGAGACCATATTAACCACTTACGTTGGACTGCACATAGCACATGCTAACTTTACTGTCAAGCATTTCTTAAACTATGTAAACTTCCAAGTGTAATCTTGCCCTCATACAGACTCAGGCCACTCTTCCCCTCAGGGATGCCTATTACCTAGTAGGAATATTACAGTCCAGGAAGAAAGAAAACATTATTCACCTTGAAATGCATGCAACTTGTTGTTATTTAATTTTGTAAGTTCTGCTTCAGTATGAAGGAAGCAGAACTAGAATAAAGTTTTAAACTGAGTTGTAAGCAGCACATCCAAGGGCACAACAAAGGATCCAGATAAGCTAGTTATTAAAAGAAAGAGTAAGATGTTCTCTACAGAAGTTTTAAACTGAACGAAACAAACACAATACAGATATACAATTAGTTAAGTTTTTTTCACAATATAGTGTGTACTTACTTGGCTATCTCAACAGGAAGTCTTCCAGATGAACAAGTTAGCAATCTCTGAATAAATGCTTCATTCACAGTCCATATCTGTTTTGAAGAGTCAGGGTATCTGAAATCATCTGGTAATACCATGTTCTAAATTTAAAAAAAAAAAAAAGTCAGCCATAGAAAAGGAGAACAATTATTCAGTTTATCAGTCTTGCAATTAAAAGGTCCCTCTACCCAGCCACTGAGGGGGCAGACAAACTGTTCCAGGTAGATGCACCAATATATAGGTCCATATAGGATTGACACCAATACAAGCAGAATTGACATTATCAACAATCAGCTTTTTTTGACCAGCATAGCCAATAATGCCACCAATAAATGCTGCATACATGCACACAGCCACAGCATGCACACAGAGAGGAATGCAGCCCAGCAGTGTGGAGAGCAGTGTCTAGCTGGTAAGTCTGTGGGGTGCAAGGGGCAGGAGGGGGGGGAGGGGCATAGCAAAGGCAGATCGAGACCCACACGGTGAGGAATGGAGTGGGAATGGGGCAGCGGGAGGTGCTACCCAGCCGAGGAAGTGTGGGAAGTGGGACAGAGCAGTGGGCAGCTTGTCCGGAGGGCACGGGGGGCAAAGATGGGGGGCGGCTCCCCACTGCTACATGTACCCCCAGGGGCAGCATGGGGGACACATGCCCCCAGATTTGTGCGCGAAGCGAGGGCAGGCTGCCTACCGTGTGCTTGGGGCCAGGGGCTGTGCCAGTCTCTTTGTAATGGGGGCTGGGCTGGGGCTGCAG